CATCCCTAGAGTCTCCAAAATGGAATGCAGCTTTGCCTATACTTCCACTTTAGCCCACTGACACCTGTGTCACTTTTAACCTACAGAATGGTAAGATAATAAATTTATATTGCTTTATGTCATCAAGTTTGTGGCAATTTGTTGCAACAGCAAAAGAAAACTAAGAATGTTCACGGTTTTTACCCCAGAAGTCCTTGAGCCAAAATGGAGATACATTTGGACATTCCAAAATCAGGTTTAAGAATCTCTAATGGAATGAGAAAAACATTTCATTCTACAAAACTTAAAATTTGGGGCCAAGCGTGGAGGCTCACCCTTGTAATCTTAGACTCTGGAAGGCCAAGGAGGGAGGATCACTTGAGCTCAGGAGTTCTAAGCTCAGGAGTTTGATGCCAGCCTGAGCAAGAGTGACACCCCATCTCTACTAAAAATAGGAAAATTAGCCAGTTGTAATGGAGCATGCCTGTAGTCCCAGATAGTAGGGAGGCTGAGGCAGAAGGATTACCTGAGCCCAGGAGTTTGAGGTTGCAGTAAGCTACGGATGAGGCCACTGCACTCTACCCAGGGTGACAGAGCCAGACTATCTCCAAAAAAAAAAAACAAAAAACCCTTAACATTTGGAAAGAAAAATGCCACCACAAAGGTGGCATACTTCTAGTATAGCTGAGTAGATATCATCAGGCCATACCACTGGGTAATGACTATAAACTCTAGACAAAATATTGTTAAAAAAAACAAAAACTTTCATAAGCACTGGAGAACCAAAAGCAGGCAGACACATGGAGGAGAGCCTATACTCAAAAGAAGCCAATGAGGTTTTTGTTTTTTCTATTACATTTTTTAGCCTGAAGGCAGGCCTCAGGGAGAGTTTATAACAACCAAAGGATGGGAAAGTGCAACATCCCAGAAAAGGAAGAGACAGAAAGAGAGAGCCCCACATTCTGTATACAAACTCTACCCAAATCTCTGGCTGACCCCTGAACCGTGCATGTGCATGCAACAGACTCCAAGCAACCCAGCTAAAAGAACTGAACCAATATTTGATCTACTGACCATCACAAAGGAGATGGATAGCAACAACAAAAACCCAGCCAGGCACAGTGGCTCACTCCTGTAATCCCAGCACTTCTGGAGGATTGCTAGAGGTCAGGAGTTCAAGATCCAGCTCTACAAAGAACTTTTTAAAAATTAGCCAGGCCATGGTGGTGCATGCCAGTAGTCCCAGCTAATTGGGAGGCTGAGACACAAGGATTGCTTGAGCCCAGGAGTTTGAGGTTGCTGTGAGCTAGGCTGATGCCACGGCACTCACTCTAGCCTGGGCAACAAAGTGAGACTCTGTCTCAAAAAAAAAAAAAAAAAAAAAATTAGCCAGGCATGGTGGTGTGCACCGTAGTTAGTCCCAGCTACTTCTAGGCTGAGGCAGGTGGATCACTTGAGCCCAAGAGTTCAAGGTTGCAGTGAGCCATGATCACACCACTGTTTTCCAGCCTGGGCAACAGGAGACCCTGTATCTTAAAACAAAACCAAACAAAAAAAATCCATATACCCTTTAGAGCAGGGGTCCTCAAACTTTTTAAACAGGGGGCCAGTTCACTGTCCCTCAGATGGTTGGAGGGCTGGACTATAGTTTAAAAAAAACTACAAACAAATTCCTATGCACACTGTACATATCTTATTTTCAAGTAAAAAAACAAACAGGCAAAAACACCCGCATGTGGCCCGCGGGCCGTAGTTTGAGGACGCCTGCTCTAGAGGAACAAAACTGGATTTAGAGCCTCCACACCACATCATTCACAATGTCCAGAGTACAATCCAAAATTACTCACATACAGGAAAACACACCACACTTTTAAGAAAAAAGACAATCAAAAAAGATTACCAAACAAGAATCTCAAAGCAGTTCTATATTCATGCTTAAAGAAATATAGGAAAATATCCTCAATGAATGAAAAAATACACAATGCAGATAGATGGTCCTGACTTACAATGATTTGACTTACTGATTTTCAAAAGTTATTGTGCTGCAAAAGGGATCCAAATTCAGTATGCCCCTACATTTATGATAGGGTTATGTCCAGATACACCCATCTCACATTGAAAATATTATAAATCAAAAACATATTTCTTGATTTCTGTGATATTTTCTATTGATGAGTTTATCAGGATGTAATCCCATCATAGAGAAGCATATGTACTTGAAAATGCCACTATAACCCTGTCACCTACCAAACTAAAAGTAGTAGCTTCAGAATGAGGCAATTATGAGACCTAAAATGATATCAACATTATAGAAAACCATGGACAATTAGTGAAGGGAATAAACCAATTCTGAGAATTTATTACTCCATAATTCATAATTTTTAGACAATTCTTACAATCCCCCATGAAGTACTATCCCACTTTACAGGAAAGAAAAATGAGGTTCAAAAAGATTATGAACAGTGGCTCAAGGTTAAATAGCTGGTACTAAATTCTGGGCATACTTTAAGCAATGATGACTTGAAAAGCCTATAGATGAAGAGATTGGTAGCTAGCTAACAAAACAGAAATTAGAATGGGCAATTATGATGAAAGTGTAAATGGTCTCTTTAAAGGTTTCTCATTTAGGAAAGGAACTTCCTTAGTTAGATCTTATTCATACTTTTCCTAATCTTTGGTAGATTCATTTTGATATCCCACAATTTGTGAAACCCTGGTTCTATAAGTATGCAACATCCTGAAAATGAAATGCTACGCAGCATTAAAATGAAGTATAGAAGTATCTACAGATAAGGAATGAAGTATCTACAAATAAGATGATCCAAATGTATTATGGAAAAAAGTAGGCTACAAAATAATATATCTTCCCCATTTTGTAAAAAAAAAATCTATAAGGTCTATTAATTGTAGACATCAAAATATTAACAATGGTAATTTCCAGGTTGACAAGACTATGGGGTGATTTTTATTTTTCAAGCTTATTCAATTTGCTATTCTCAATGTTCTGTTTTTCCTACAATGAATTACTTGTGTAATAAAAATTAAGCTTATTTGTCAACTCAACAAACATTTATTGGGCACATACTCCATACCAGGTACTATTTGTAAAGAAAAAAAGGTTACAGAAATGTTAAGCTTGATTAAAATTTTCCTCCACTACCTGAAGCTTTTTTCATTCTTAAAACTTATCTTCAATTTATACCTCTAACCCCTTTGCCTCAAAAACAAAAGAAACGAAATCTATGTGTGTACCCTTATTTCTATCCTACTAGACAAGGTCCGATCCTCATCTCCCACCTAGGCTTCTCCAAGAGCCTCTTATCTAGTCTCCTTGCTTCTGGCTCCAATCAAACTCATTCCACCCTCACTTCCATTCAGTGCTCTATCCAAAATAGAATCCTGACCATATTCCCTCTACTCCTCTAAAACCTTTTACTGACTCCTCACAGCCTCTAAGATAAAGTTGAATTCTTTCGTATGACATAGCAAAGAGCTCCAATATCTGCTCCGTCCCCCTCTCTCATTTCCTTTGGGAACACTTTAGCTTTAGCTCCAACAGAGTTGGCTTCTCATACACACTAACCTTTTTCTTGCCAATATTTTTTTATGTTGTCCTTTCCACCTAGAATACCCTCTGATCCCATCCCCAATCTGTTAGTTTTACTGCCAAAGAAAAATCTTATCCCACCTTCAAACCAAATTGGATGACCCAATTTACATATCTAGGATTGCACTTTTACATTGTATTATAAAGTTCCTCTTACATGAGACTATCAACTCCAAAAGAACAGGGATTGCCTAAGTCTTTTTCTTATCTGTCATATGAGGAAAAAACAGTACCAACCTCAAAAATGAGATATGGAATGCAGATATTTAACTCAGTGTTTGGCATACAGAAAATAGTCACCAAATGTTACCTATTGTTTATTAGCCACACTGTTACCTGGAGTCCATAAATACATGATCCGCAGTCGGACTTCAAATGTTTATTGAAAGACTAAACTTTAGTCACTTGTAAAATGGAAATATCTCTTGCAAGAACATTTCTGTTTTACAAGTGAGGAAACTGATAAAGATTACCGCCCAAAGTCATACAGCTACAAAAGCAGTGAAGCTATCCTTCAAATTCGAGTCAAACCTTAAAGCCCTCATGTCATTCTATACTAATATAAACTATATCCCTCTCTTTTGCTGAGAACTGACTCAACCTTTCTAGTTTCCTCCTAGGAAAATAAATAACACAGTTTCTTTCCAGAAAATGCCCTACGCTATAATCGTCATTTCTGGAATCTGCATTTTAAAAATCAACTTGAACAAGTGTTTCAACCTCTCTGCGATTGAATTTCCTTGCCTATAATGAGATGTACTCGGATTTCAAAAGATCATTAAACTCTAAAATCCTGTGATTCGTCAGTTGGGTGCAGTTACTTGTGGTGCCGTTCTTTCACGGTAGTTTGATAAGATTTACCGAGGACTTCCGATATGCAAAGCACAAACACAGTAAATGAACACTGGTCACCCTTCTCTAGCCCTAATGAAACTCTCAGTAAGCCTTCACCAAACAAGCCAGAGTTCTCTCAAGTATGCTGCAACCTAACAGCAACGAGGTCACTAAACTTGATATGCAAGGCGCCTCCTCCTTCGGGGACGGGGGTCTTGGAAGAAGACCTGGTCTACCCAGGACAGGCCCAGGCTCCGCGCTACAGCGAAATAGCAAAAAACAGACCACCAAGCGGCCTCTTCTTCCTGCCCTCCTTGGCCAAATTAGGCGCACGCTTCCCAGTCTGGTGGGGGAGGCCACGCACCCGCCGCAGCCACAGTCTGCAACCCTCCCTCGGGGCTCCTCACTCGCGGTGGAGCTGCAGCGGCCTCCCTGAGAAGAGAGCGAAGGCCGCAGTGTCCTTGCCGCCGCCTGCAGGCCCGTCCAGAGCCCCCAGCTCTCCTGCGCCCAAAACTAAGGGAGGCACGGAGAGCGGGAGAAGGCCGGCGGCACTACCCGGGCTCGTCCCGGGCCTCCTTACCCACTGGGCGGCGACGGCAGCCGCGCGGGCCTGGAGCGCCGCGGAGAAGAACATGGCTACCCACACAGTTCGCCTTTCCCCCGCCGCGCCAGGCGAGAATCCCGAGCGAGCCCGGGACGCACAGCGTGCGCGCTCCCGAGCCCGGGCCTAGCTGCCCAGGGAGGCGCCCTGTTCCCTCGCCGAAAGGCGGTGGCCGACGCGAACGCGCGCGAGAGCGCGGAGGCTTGTGGGGCCCAGTGGCGGAGACTTCCGGGGGTGGGGTGGGGACCAGCCAGGGCCCTAAAAGGCCCTGGTCCCACTGGCTGTGGCTGGGGTCCTGGCCTTGAAAGGAAGCGTCTCTGAGCGGCGCCTAGGGCTCTTGGTGAATGAAATGCCGACCTGGATTTATGGGGTGAGCTTCCCTCCTGGAGGACCTTGTGAGGATTAACCACCTCCTTTTATATTGATGTTTCTTTAAAAAAAATACTGTCGCAACCCACTATAAATCTTATAAATTAGGGAATTCCAGACACAGAGTGCTGCCACCCGCTGTGCTAGCCATGGACAGCAAATGCCTTGGTCCCCATTCCTTTGCTTTAAAGATGTGTGCGACATATTTAGGGGTGACATGCTGTGGTAGCTGACATTTGCTACAGAATAATGGGGAGTGGCGGGTGAAAAGGAAGCAAGAGTGGCCGTGGGTGCTGGCTGTTGATGCTGCCTGGTGGTTCTTATTACTATTCTCAGTACTTTTGTACGTATTAGAGATTTTCCATAATAAAACTGAAAAAAAAGCCACTTCCTCCTTGATGTTTGGTCATCTCTGGAAATTCCAGCAAGTACTTATTCAGTAACAGCTATAATATGCACAGCGCTGTTTCCTGCTGTGAAGAGTTTACCTGGCATTTACAGCCTCTAGAATGTTTCCCTTCACTGCCTTCTTTTCTTGTGTGTCATGTCCTGTATCCACCTCCTTCCTTTTGCCCTTCTTTTTGCTGTAATAAATTTGTGAATAATTTCTGGGCATTCACAGCCACACAGGGATTTTAAAAATTTATTCTCTCTTTAAAAACTCTAAAATATTCCATTGCAACCCCTATGAATCATATTTTACAAATTATAGAATTCAAGACACAAAGGGCTAGGAATAGATACGAAATGCCCTGGTTCCCATGGCTTTGCATTATATTTTATATTAGTTTGCCTCTCCTAAGTCAGCTTCAGTATTTCCCTTTAAAAGGGAAAGATATTCTGGCCCTCAATGTTGATTTAAATTAATTTATTATAAAGTTACCTATATAAATATATATACACCCAACACTATTAAACATGTAATAATTCTTAAAGTAGCTAGGGCAACTAAAACCAAAACATGTCACAAATACAAACTTACAAATGGATGATACTAACAGATAAGGCATGGATTCTTTGACTCTCCAGTGCATTTTTATTTTATTAGGGCCTTCTCCCAGTCCAGATCAGTCCTAAAGATACCTTCCCAAAAAACACCAGCCACCACTTTCATTACCACATTTACCACCAGATTATAAAGTCCATGGGTGCAGAACCTGCCCTTTCCACCTTGTTTGGTTCAGCAACTTGCACGATACCTGACATATGGAAGGCATTCAATAAATATTTGTTGAGTGAATAAAAATCTTGCACACAGTGCAGATACTTTGTTATCTAAAAGGGTTGTATGTCTCTGGCTGCAATTATGCTTATTTCTATGTGTATCAGTGTTTTTTACTACAAATAACAGGAGACCTAAATAAAGTAGATTAAATAACACTGGGTCATTATCTCTCATGAAAAGAATTCTAGAGGTAGAGCAGTTCCAAGGTTAGTTAATTCAGTTTTCCAAGGATGTCCTCAAAATCTTAAATGCCTTCTATTGTTCTACTCCAACGTACTCAGCCATGGTTCCTATAAGGTCACAAGTTGGCTGCAGCAGTTCCAAGTATCATATGCAGATGACAACATCCCAAAGAAGGAAAAGAACTCTTACCTCTAAAGTGTCTCACATGTTCCTCCAGCAGATTTCTTTGTCTCATTGGCATACAAGACATGGTGGTTAAGAGGGCATGCTCTAGAATCAGACTACTGGGGTTCTGATCCTATCTCTACTGCTTTCTAGCTGTGTGACTTTAGCCAAGTTTGTTTCTCTGGGCTTTTGTTTAGTAGTAGTACCTTTCTCATAGCTTTATTATGAGAATTAAATAAGTTAAAACCTATAAATTTCTTTCAGAAGTACCTAGCACAGAGTAAGTGCTCATTAAGTGTTAACTTTCATCATCATCATCACATCATCAGAACAGGACATCATAATGTTGCGATGATTAAACCACTCACTAAAAAGGAAAATCGAAGGGCCAGTTTGGGGCCAGTTATCTCCTGAACAAAATAGCTCTGCCAGCAAGGAAGGTGCTGAGGGAATAAACTCGGGTAGGCAACTAATGGGATCATCCACAGTAGAGCAGCATCTTTCGGAGTTCACAATCCATAGAGAAGGTGTATATCCTATTGGTATTTAACACTAATCATAGACTTACTGGGTGTCCCCAATTTCTGTTACCTCAGAGCAGAACCAGAGTGCAGAGAGTAATGTTTAAAACATTAAGGATCAGGGGTAAGGGAGTGTCTAGCCGGTTGACACTTTCTTGAAGACAATACAGAAAGCAAAACACTTTTAGTTCAATTGTCATGTAACTGCCAGTAGGTATGACAACACTCTTCACCAAGTCAAAAGATTTGTTAATGTCCACCATGACTTTGGCTTATCCTTAGCCCAAATAATTCTCAAGTGAAAGCGTCAGGATTAATGTATCTCAAACCAATAATGTAAGTTAATTTCTAGAGCCATTCCACTTATACAGTAACATATATGCACAGTCAGCTGTTCTTCCCCAAGTCCTTAGGATGGAATTATGGGGGCTGTTTGGAAAATCCCTGTTCTTCCTCCAATTCTCAAAGCCATTGTTTCTGGGCACAGACCAACATGAATGTCAGTGATTTCAACTGTTACTGACTTACATTTAAAGGCTTGATTGAAACTGGTTCATCAACATGTGATGAACATTATGGCTGCCTGTGAGATATATTTCACTAAGTTAGTGCTACTATGATAAGCCCAGGGAAATTTGCCCTAACTGCAGTGGTCAGCTCTCTAAATAAGGAATGTGTGGGTGTTGGGGGTGGGAGTGAGGGAACAGGAGCCAGGGGAGCTAGATTAAAATCAGAGAGATGACCAAATATGGGGACTTTGACTCTCTTGTTCCTGTGATTTCTTCTCCATTTAAACCGTCACACGTCCACACTATTGAGGATGTAGTAATGAAAATCATGAGCTTTGAAATCAGAGTTGAGTTTAAATTCTGACCTCATCACTCACTTGATTCTGTAAAGCTTTGGTCCTCTGTTTCTAAAAGTATAATTAGAACATTAAATCTTTCACCTTAGGGAAAATGATTAACATAGTGCCTGGTGTACAGTAAGGATTCAAAAAAGCATCATTTCTTTTCAGTACCTACCAAGGTGGTCCACTCTATCTATGGAACACTTTAGTCAAGTAAAGTCATATCCTACTTCAGATGTCCTCAACTATGGCCCCGAGAGCCACATGAGGGCCGCCTAGCACATTTATCCGGGTTCTCTGGGTGTTTTTGCCGCCGCTGCCTGTCCTGCTTAGCAGCCAACTCATTCCAGGCCCACAGTGCACATTCTGCAACAGTCTGAGGGACAGTGAACTGGCCCCCCTTGTTTAAAAAATTTGAGGACCCCTGTAATAGCCACAGGCAGATCGTGTACTTTGCCTCTAGCATGCCGGCACATAGCAAGACTGACCTGCCTGCCTGCCTTACTGGGTTTTCTAATGAATAATGTGAGATGCAGGCCCAGTCCTGCTTTGCTGGAAGAACAAAGGGCCAATTAGTGTAAAGTCAAAACTCAATGGAAGGGAAAAATGGGATAAGGCTACTGCTGGACGAGTGAGTGAGAAAGTTTGAGAGTGACTAGTCACAATGGCAGACTACACTACAGTGTGGGATGTGTTTCACGCTGAGGCGTGGGGGGATATGAGATTAGTGAGGACATCTTTTGTGATGCTTCCCGGTTCTCCTCAAGTTAATCTTGGATATGTGGGACCAAACGAGAAAATGAAAATCAAAACAGCCAGTAACTTAACTATATAAACTTCAAAAACAGAGTGTTTAAAAAAATAGGCCGGGTGCAGTGGCTCACGCCTATAATCCTAGCACTCTGGGAGGCTGAGGCGGGCGGATTGCTTGAGGTCAGGAGTTCAAAACCAGCCTGAGCAAGAGTGAGACCACCAGTCCTCTACTATAAATACAAGAAATTATTGGCACTAATATATATAGAAAAAATTAGCCAGGCATGGTGCCCATGCCTGTAGTCCCAGCTACTTGGGAGGCTGACGGAGGATGCTTGAGCCCGGAGATTGAGGTTGCTGTGAGCAGGCTGACGCCACGGCACTCACTCTAGCCTGGGCAACAAAGTGAGACTTTGTCTCAAAATAATAATAATAATAATATAAGCAGAATGTCACCTCAGATTCACATTGCTTGTTACTTCCCCAACATGGGACTGAATCCTAACAGCTTCCATGCTGAGATGAAAGTTTCTGTCAGAATTTGATCAGTGTTTCCCCAGCAAGTAATCAAAGTAATTAAACAACAATGAATATAATTCTTGCCTAATCGATTGGCAAATTGCTAATAGCTGTTGTTGGTAATGTGGGGAGGAACATACTATCATCCAGTGATGGTAGTTAGTGTATAAGATCAGCCTCTGGAGAGGAGAGGGTCATTTGGCAATATGTAGTCAGTTTCTCTTCTTTTGTTTTCTTTCTTTTTTTTTTTTTTTTTAGGTAGAGTCTCACTCTGTCACCCAGGCTAGAGTGCAGTGGCATCTTCATAGCTCGCTGCAACCTCAAACTCCTGGGCTCAAGTGATCCTCCCACGTCAGCCTCCCAAAGTGCTAGGATTACAGGTGTGAGCCACTGCACCCAGCCTATTCAGTTTCTTAACATGGATTTTTCCTAAGGAAATAACTAAAAAAGTATACAAATATGTTCATCACAGTGTTATTAATAACATTGAAACGCTGGAAGCCATGTACATGATCATCAATAGAGAATTGATCAAATAAATTACAGGATGGCCAGGAAAGATACCCATGTGTTAAATTTAATTAAAAAAAGGATTATATATATATATACAAAAAATTAGCCGGCATGGTGGGCATGCCTGTATCCAGCTACTCGGAGGCTGAGGCAGTAGGAATCGCTGAGCCCCGGAGATTGAGGTTGCTGTGAGCAGGCTACGCCACGCACTCATCTATCCTGAGCAACAAAGTAGCCTGCTCAAAAAAAAAAAAAAAAAAAGGATTATAGAA